GTTTAATTTTGTTGGATTGAAGGGGCCCCATACGACTATTGCGTATGTTAAGTCGGGGAGAATTATGGATTTATATATTTGTAACATTATTGAATAGGGTAAAAAATATTTCAATTCATTCAAGATTCCTATTACCTTTGAGACTTTATTTGCGATGGCATCAATATGGTTATGAAATGATAGAAATTCATCAAGATTAACTCCTAGAAATTTTATATGAGTTACTCTTTCGAGTACAGAATTATTAATTGATAATTGTACATTAGTAAACTGAAATATACTATTGCGGCCTCTAAATATGATATATTTAGTTTTTTTGGTGTTGACTGTCAGCTTATTTTCTCTAAACCATGCTGACAGGCGGTGTAATTCATAGTTCATCATATCACATGCATATATAGGGTCATTATGTTTTAGAAACATATTGGTATCATCCGCAAAGATGATGAGTTCTATATCTTTGCACACCGAAAGTATTAATAATACTAGGCTTAATCGCTCCTGAGCGCTGATGACGGTGACAATGACAAGGACATTGATCATTATAAATTCTTTTCATATAAAAATAACAAGATTTGTAGGCTTTATTAAATATACCTCAACATAGTATATAGCTTCTCTGACATCAGTCCAAATAATCTTTACCATAGTTTCATTGTTTTCTTTCCAAATAGTCTCATTAAACTGAAAAGTAAATACAAAGTAAGTATTAAATTAACACTGGTCTTGTCTTAAAAGGGAACTAGGAAGATGATTTTTTTTTCCTAGAAGGGATTGTTGATGTCACTTGTAATAGTATCAACCTTAAAATCAGTTTTTGGCAATTTTTTATGAAGTTATAGGCCATTACGATTTTGCCCCTTTAGCAGCGTGATGTCAGTGTTACTGTAACCAAAGGTTGTACAGTGTCACATATAACACTGCGCGCCACGCTATATGATTTTTGGCTACAACCAGTGGCACTCTAGGATATATTTTCTGTGGGCTAAGCTGTACGACGGGGGGTTTGAGCTTGTATGCCTGAGCAGGGGAGGGTTTTTTGAGAATTTTTTTAAAAACAAGGACCTCTGGATGGCCAGAAATGGCACTCTATGACTGTGAAACACATATTTTGGCTTGGTAGGCCTATTTAAAAATTTTTTTTTTTTGGTCCGGCTTGTCCGATGGGAGGCTTACAACAGTAGCTTAAGACACTGACGTCATGTAAGGGGTAAGTCATAATGGCCTATATCTTCATAAAAAAATTGCCAAAAAACAATTTTAAAGTTGTTTTTATTACTTATGACATATCAAAAATTTTAAAGTTTGCATACATGTACAGATTTGGGCATCTGAGGCAAAAAACATCAATCAATATTTCTTGCTCACTGCTTTTCACATATTAGTTCTCTGCTAAAAACACTTCATTGGCTACCTGTCAGGCAACGCATTTTCTTTAAGATTCTTATTTTAACATTTAAGGCCCTTATATTCCTTGGACCATCATATCTTGTCGAACTTGTCCCTCGCTATGCTCTTTCTCGTCGTCTCCGCTCTGCACATAAATCACTGCTTACTGTCCCAAATTCCAAACGAAGGCATATCACCTGACAACGCAGCTTTTTTTCATCTGCCTCTTCCCTTCGGAATGCACTCCCTCTCTTTGTTAAAGATTTCACTACATTAGATTCATTTAAAGTTAATTTAAAACACATATTTATATAGCAAACTCTAAGGGTAAACTGCATCTTTCATCATTTTTGAAATTGGAGCAACTGTATAGCTTAATTAATAGCTAATGTTAAACACGAATGAAATCATAAAGATCACTCAGTTAAGTAGAAGCCTTAGAACTATTATTTATCCACTAGCATTAAATTTATACCTGAAATGTTTCTTGAGATGGACAACGTTCGGACGTCACATTTTTACTTTTCTGTAGAAAAACAAGTAAAGCAGCATGAACGAACTATACACTTTTTTAATTAATAATTAATTAATGTACACTTCACACGACCTTTATATATTATTTTTCAGTTGGCTCATAAAAATTAATACTTTAATAAAATATATAAATCCTAAACTACAACCGATTTTGAGAGCTTAATTCAGTAGTGGCACTACAGGGGGTGGGGAGGATAGCAGCCAAACACCGTTTTTAGGTCAAGATGCCCTGTATGAGCATCTAGTGGCTTATTATTTTTCTCATTTAGACACTCACCTCCTGAACCCTTGAGGTATTTTTTTAAAGGTGATTATGAGAGTACATGTGATTTTAAAATTTGCAATGGTAAAGATAGGCTGGGTCTATAACACTAAAACTAAGTCAAATTTCCTTGTGCAGTCTGAACAAAAAATTTTTCTTAAATTCTGACAAAATGTGCATACCACTTGAATGAGCAAGGGTGAATTTAGATGGGGGGGGGGCTGGGTAGTGTTATCTCAATCGGCCCCACTTTCAGCCCCCCCTTTCGGACATCTCTGGATCTGCCCCTGATGAGGTGAAGGAGTACTTACTACATGTATCTCAAGGCAGTACAGGGGCTTGTGTGACACTGGCTGATACTGATCATTAATTAATTCTTTCTCTTTTAGGTAGACAAGGTACATATCAAAGTCATATGGCGCAAGGTTGAAGATTAATTCAACACGTCTATCACCTCCACCATCTACTATATAGGTTGACGGTGACCAAACACTAGGTAAATCTATTAAACAAAATATATTAACAGTTCATAAAATTATCTCAGAATGGTGTTTGTTTATAAATACAGTAAAGTAAAAAATAAAATAACATTTCTTAAAATATGTTAAAAGTTATTTAGATTACATGTCTAAGATTATTACTCTACCATACCTTCTTCAAGTGTTTGACAATAAACATCATTTTTCCTGTCGAAGCAACCTAATAATACAATGGAAACATTCTATAAACGACATTGCATAAAAATATTATAAAATATTGACTGCTCATGAGGGGAATGGTGATGGTGATATCTATCGCCCTGAGATGATGCAGAGACCGTAGGCTACGGTCTCCACATCACCGAGGGGCTATAGATTTCACCGTTCCCCAAATCTAGAGTAGTCAATATTTGTTTGATATACCTCATACTTAGATTCTACAAGACCACAAGTAATGAAAATAGTACAATTCCTAGGCGTAGGCGATCAAATGGCCAATCTCTCTCAGCCTCTTAAAGGTCGCATACTTTAGTCTTCAGCAAAATGTACTATCCCCAGGGGAATAGTACTTTCTATTGCCCGTTTCTTAATCAGATGCCTAGAATCAGGGGTTTAGCCAGAAAAAATGGAATAGGCCGTCAAAAATGGAGGCCAGTGGGCGTGGCCATGAGGGAACCGAATCTCAAGTAGGGCCTATTGTATTTGCAGAGCCACGTGCATGCGTTTGAAGAATATAAGGAATTTGCTAAAGGTAGACCAGGATCAATTAGGCTAGGCCGATCTGATTAGTCCAAGCCGTCCAAGCAGTCACCGTAAAAGTGACTGTCCTAAATTGTTGGCCTTCCAAAAGACAGCCGGACTGTTTGCTGGCTAAGCCTATGCCTAGAATATATGTATGTGGTATATAATATAAAATATATGTATGCTGTCATCATTCAGACTGAAACATTATATGCATCTTGAGAATATTTCCCGCATGATTAAAATTGTAACGGTACTGGGTTTGGTCTACAGGAGCTTGTGTTTCGTACAGGTCATTCCATTCATAGAAATAGCCTTTAATGGTGAAAGCGTACCTGTCATTAGCCGTAGTAGCCTAGGTCAATACATAATACCAGCTGTATAAAATTTATTGTAAGATTGAAAATGTTAATCTTATTATTGTATTAGCGATACACTATGTACACGGTTTAATTATTGTTATTTATTTGTTAACGTTATTATATTAATATATAAATTTAATGTAATTTTTAGGTATGAATTACTATGTCCATGTTAAATTAATATTATCTATTAAAAGTGTATATTTAAATAATATAGTAATAGGCACTGATAGCCTAGACTAGGCCTAAAACAAATGACTATATGGGAGTGTATAAAACTATGAAAAATATGAAAAAAAAATAACGCCAAATTGTGAAAGAATAAAGGAAGAAGGAAGAATAGGAAAAAGATTTGGAGCGTCTGAAATATTTTCCGAAAATATAGAATAGTCAATATACTATTATTGCATTAATTTTGGGCACTAATCGTCAGAGGTCTCGGTGCCACAGCCTACATTTTTCATAATTCGAAATCGAACCAGAACACAAGACTAACCCCTGCTCTTCTCAAAGAGTGTCCTGGTTCTTTAAAGTGCACACAATTAGTTTGTGTAAATTGGTCCTACATTTTGCAGTCCTGATCCAAGGAGGAGGGTTTACAACGAGATATGAGGCTCTGGGTTATAGCACACCTAAAGCGTGTGTTGCCTTGGCATGCCATACAGAATTCACTCTCAAGGATTAAAAGAACACTCTTGTAGACAGTAGACAAACTTAAGAAACTATATTTACTTGGTGGCCAATAATATTTGAACACTGGCTTCTCAGTGGAAGGCATCGTATTTATCTTAATCAAATACTCTCCACCAGGACGGACTGGTCTTGAACAGTCAAAGAATATCCTCCTCTATAGGTACATAAAACAATACAATGTTAAATTAAAACTATAAATCAAAATTACTGAAGATGATCAAATAGATTTATACAACATTGTTACTAGAAAACCCTACTTAAGATATCCTTGTTTTTTAATAAAAGCAATTATTTCTAGCTCGAGTTGGTGAAAGATTGAAAGGATTATTCTTATTGATCATTAGGGAATTCAAAATTATAAAGACAATACCATCATTGCATAAAAGAAAACTGTTTCGGAAAACAAATGTACACTAAGTTGGACTGTGTATAGAAGACCCACTACATTTAATCATACTTGGCTACTTCTTCACACTCTATTTATTAAACTTACAACTGTATCTTCCTCGGTCAGGAGATCATTATCGGTAAGCTCGTCTGTAAAATTGATGTAATGACAATACATTTCATTGTTTAGCGGGTCAAGGTGTTGTATCTCAATACCTACTCCTCTGTATATTCCTGAGCCTACAATTGAACGAATATCATATTGTTGCAATCATAATTGTTTCCAGTTTCTTTACATAGATACAGTGATAAATGCATTTGATATGCGACTATTAAACATAAGTGACAACACAACTGATTATTATTATTAGGCATGAATTGTAATTTCAACAAATAATGTGCTGATCATACAAATTCATTGTTTTATATCATTTTAGAGACTTATTTGAAGACTACACTACAGTATTTTGTTTACTGTAAATGCTGGAATAAGTGCTGAGACTTGGAGGCTTTTTTGAGAGCGACGCAGACGCTTACAAAAAAATTGCCATGGTGCTTTCCATGCCCGTTCCCATGTTACCTATTTCACGTATTCCCTTGGTTTAGTAGGCCTATCATAGGTCCTACGTCATCATAAAAATAAACAATCATAAAGAAATTTTTGTATCTTCATTGTTTAATATTTATGTATTTTAACACTGTATACGTTTTATTTATAACCCTTTCTCAAAATGTTTCACTACACACAGGGTAATGTATAATACGACGCTTAGCTAAAAAGATTGGTTTAGTGCAGCACTTATTCGAGAACGGCACCCATTCAACCATCTACAGTACTAGGAAAAACTCTGATATAAGCTATGCTTACTGTAAACAGTTTATATTTGATTTCTTCCCGATGCAAAATTTTGTTTTATTGTCAATAATTATTACCTATAGTACTTACCATTCAAATTCAAATCAAATGAAATATTCAGTTTTGTAAACTTTGAAGGATAACCTGTATAAGTTGTCACATAAGAGTCAACTTCAATATTTTCAGCTGGTGGTGCTGAGCCATCGTTGCCAAACCAATTCGGGCAAACAGCTAAGGAACATGAAAATAATATTAATAATGTAATCACTACAGTCATGTGATTAGAAATAGGTATGTTTCATTGGTCCAATTAGGAAATTGACTCTAAGTTTGATGTCTTGTTATATATTATTGGCATATATGCTGGTCTTTTTGTGACCAGGGCAATAATTTGTTACATGACAACCAATCAAATTATGGTATTCTAGAGATTTTAATCACCAGAGCAACATATCCAATTTTTGAATGAGATGTGGCAGTGGTTTTTTTTTTGGCCTTATTGTGGCGCTCTCTATGCCTTGGTATATGAGGACAACTACGAAAAAAGCTTGGCACCCAACATGTTAAATATATACTGTCTCTAGTATGCTAAAAACTATAAAAATAACATTCAATATTTTCAGATACTGTAGGCTAAATTATTATAATTTTAGTAATGCTTTCATAAATGTAGGTCTACCAGGAATCGATGGATGGAACTTACCTGCAAAAGTCTGTGTGCATTTCCTCTTACTTGTATCCGGGGATAAATTGTATAACACATATGAAAAGTAATTAAGGACAAATGTGAGATATTTAAGTAAAACAGTGTTTAATACATTTAAAAAAAAATCATCGAATAAACATGGGGAGGTGTTAATGGGTGATGGTAAATTGAGCCGACTTTGGTGGATATTTTTATTTGCTTTTATGCAGTTATTACAATACTTAATTGAAAATAAGAATTTCTAACTGCATATGATTTAAGTGAATCGCATAGCAGAATTAGGATAGACACAAAAAAAGGAAATGTGCGCCACCTACCCCAGTTACCCCTCTCCCCCAAATGAAAATGATGGAAGCAAAAAAAAATTACACTCAAGAAGTTAAAAATCATTTATAACCATATTTTTGCAAATTACTTCTTGACTTGTTTTCTCCAAGTTAGCATTAACCACCAAAACAGTGAGTTCCCACTTCACCTTCGCACCCCTATATGCGATTCAAAAATAAGCAAATAAAAATATCCACCAAAGTCGGCTCAATTTACCATCACCCATTAACACCTCCCCATGTTCATTCGATGACATTCTTAAAATGTATTAAACACTGTTTTACTTAAATATCTATCACATTTGTCTTTGATTATTTTTCATATGTGTTATACAATTTATCACTGGATACAAGTAAGAGGCACACAGACTTTCCAATTAATTTTACAGATGTACAAGCAGCAACAGACAAAAATATACAATGAAATATTTAAACCATTGTATACGGATTATAAGGAACCATACAATTTTTTTGAGAATTGGTCTATTATTTGAAGGTAGTTTCCCTAACTTTTTTCTACAATGGAAGTGAAACCAACATTTTAACTGAAAGACATTATGGTAGAATTGGATTGATTGAATGACTGATTGACATATTTTTCATTTTTCAAAATTTGTTTAGCCTTGGTTAAAATGGATAAAATTACATGAAAAATCACAAGACAAAACCACTTGGCAATGACAAGAAATTTATGAGATATTAACAAGTTAAAATAGTAAAGTAGTAAAAAATTACTGTTTAAAATTATTTGTAAGAGGAAGTACACGCCGCCTTTCCAATTCCATTATTTTGTTTTATGCTCTGAGGGTAAAAATCAAACTTCCATGAGCTTGACCTTTTCTTTTGTGGGTGGGGAATGTGATTGACCCTGTGAAAGATGCAAAACACTACTACCAATACCAATGACTCCAAAGTAAACTAATGATATGAAACGATGATTAAATGAATGTACGTTTAATTCAAATGAATTACAGTATTCTTGTTAATTTATTACAAAATACACCTAGACCAACCCAAATAGGGTGTTGCTATGACAATGCTTGTGGACAATTATCAATTATGGTTAGACTTTAGTCGAATGCCAAAATGTTTCTGTTTCCCTAATATTTAATTAATATTTGTCTATTGGTGATTTGCTGAGGTCTCAGTTCCCTTCACCGTCCGTGCATGTTATAAATTACACAGCGACATTTTAGGTCCGGCCTAGAGTTTGCATTGCAATAGGGAAAAAATGTACTATTATTTAAACATGATAGTACCTTTTTTCCCTATGTATGAAATATCATTTAACCTACGGCATAGGAGTGGTGGTTAAGTTTATTATCTGCTTTTTTAAACAATCATTTGCCTGGAATCTATGCCGGATATAAATAATTTTATTACCGGATACATGAAAGAGGAAGTATACAAAACCAATCCAATTTCATTACTTTGTTTTAATTCAATACTTTCATTTCTGTGAGCATGATCTTGTCCTTTGGGAGTGGGGGAATGTGATTGACCCTGTGCGGGACCCACAACAACACCAATACCAATGACACCAAAGTAAACAGATGATATGAAACGATGATTAAATGAATGTATTTTGGATTCAAATTAATTACAGTATTTTTTGTTAATTCATTACAACGAAGGGGTCAAACCCATGGACGTGAAGCTTCGGTCGATGGCCCTGAATAAAAACTCCCTTGTAAGGTTAACAGGGAGAGTTTTTATGGCTTAGCTTGGTCCAAAATATGATTTTAGATCACAATATTTGGGATTGGCAGTCAAAATACTGTAGTTTGGATAGGCAAATTATTTTTTTTAAATTTTTATGATTCGACAACCTAGTTGTGTGTCGGACAACAGGAGGTCCAGGCTTGTCCGATGGAAGGGGAAGATCCCCCTCCCCCATAGGCGCTACCATGAACACGGCCGATTCTGTAAGTACAATAAGTGACTCGCTAACAATCAATCTATCGATGGAATTTAAATTGTGCCATATATCCAGAAAAAGTAATATGTTCAGAGACAGGTTCATTTTCAATTCAAAACATACCACTGACAATCACTCAACTTGGTAGATTTTGTACACAGTAGTCATGCAGTAAATGGTAGAAGAAAAACACCTCAGGGGTTTGGCATATAAATTACAATGCATGTTCTTATAACTATCAAAGGCTTTTGTTCAGCAGATCATATCTTCCTTTTACTCAAACTTAATACTTTGGTGTTTGAAGTTTGCTTGGTAATGGTTGAAAGACTTTAACAAATAAGTTGTCCACATTCATGTGTGTATTTAACTTGTGTAAAGATAGGACGGATATAAGGTGTGGTGTACCACTAATTTTTATATCTGGGATGGATGCAGAATTTGGCGGTAGAGGGTGTGCGAGGGTCCACCTCACTGCCCCCACCATGGTTGGGGCTGAGGGAATAGAAAATTTTGAGAATAGGGACCTCTCAGGCGCGGATCCAGAGATTTAGCTCGGTTTCCTATCGGCGACAGTAGCTGACAGTTGTGGTTCACAGACGAATTGGGGTGCCTTCCTGATTGCTCAGGGCAGCTAGCAATGCACCCTGATTCGTCTGCGTCTGCAACGCAATCGGAAAAGTTTAACCAGGTTCAACCTTCCCGACAACTGTCGCTGATAGAGTGAGCAATTCTATGGAAACCGAGCTTTACCCTGACTATCCCGCATATGTGGTCCCTGAGTGGGCGGGGTCATGAAAATAGAACGTAATTTTTGCTTGTTCCATCGGTGGAAAACTATTTTAGACATGGGGCGGGGTGAGGGGGTGGTTTGCGGTAGTCTTGGAGTTCTCCTAGCTTCGGAATGTTTTGTTTTCTAGATGCTGAGAAGTGAACTTACGTGCATTACGAGACTTTTACTGATGAATGAATACACACTGAATTCATAGATTCCCTCATTTTACCATGGACAATGAATAATTGCGATGATGATGATGATGTGATGATGATGATAAGGAGGAGGATTTGTGCAAGGTTAATTAACAGGCCCGTTGATATTTGTGTGTCAACCAAGGCCCGTATCCCGAGTTCGTCATCACATTTTCAATGCACACAATCAGACAACAGTAATTATCAACTTATATAATCAGTACATTCTCGACTGTCATAAAAATATCATTAAAAAATTACGTTATATGCATGCTCGGAAGCGGAAAGTTAAACCTAAAAGTTTGATATATGTTACATATTGTTTGTTCATTGGTCTTTAATGATATTATATTCCAATATGACCACAACATAAAGAAAACATTTTTTCACCTACAAAGTTCCGACCCTTATAGCCTACATTTATATTTCCTTAGGCCTAAATCATAAGGAAGTCCGCTCTATATCCAAATTTCAGGAAATTATACGTTTTATGCATGTACGACGTGGGAGTTTTTGTTTTATGTTGTTTGTTGAATGATCTTTAAAAATATTACAGACTAATATGACCACAATGTAAGGAAGTGCATTCTTTAAATGTTTAATAGATAGTACAGAGAATTGTTTATCAAAATCATTATACACAAAATCCAATTAAAAAAAAAAAAAAATATGTTTTCAGTGCATGCGCCGACACTTAAAAATTAAATTTCTTGTTAATAATGCGGTTCTAAAACTAATCTTATGACCACAACTTTTAAAGTGTTCATTTTCAGTCTCTCAATGCTCGGTGGTCATTTTTGACTTTCTTTTAGATGTACTATATCAATGTGTGTCCGTAAGTTTTAAGCTCTAGATATACAATTAGGCTACCAACTCCATTAAAGACTTGTTTTTTTGTTTGTTTTTGTTTTGTTTTTGTTTCTTTTAACAAATAGCATTCGTTAAAATAATGAAATAATAATTCATTAATCAAAAAGTAATAATCAAAATAATATGTTTTCACTTTGGTTTAATTTTAGATAACAATAACAAAATACAATAAAATTATATATGCCATTCAATAAGGTTATACGAATCAACGCACATGTATAGTCTATCCTCCCTGAGATGGACTTTGTATTAACCATACATTGTGACATAAATCATAATAATAATAAAAGAACTCAACGGTGTACCATACGTTATCACGCAGTCCATTTAATTATAGTCCCTCTTTGATTAATACTTAGACAATGCAAAAAGTTTATTTTGTCTATATATTTTTCTCTTTGGTTTAGGTAGGTGGCTTCTCTGACAGAAAGAGTTGGAATTGCCAGACCACCAGTCACTGCTATCACTTTATATTGGCGAATGGTGCGCAGAGGTCTGGATTCGCGCCTGACTCTGGTGCCCGGAAATTGCACTCTCATACCTTACAACAATACAACAATTATTTTTTTTAATACAATTTAGGGGGTGCAACCGCCCAGTATGTTACCGTGTTTGAGGCACATTTTTGAGAGGAATACTGTATATTTAAAGGAGGAAATTACTATAAAAATGCTCAAAAAAGTACAAACACGTAAACTGTATTGAGCTATTATCATTACTATATAACTTTTGATACATAATCCCAAGCAGTTTCGGATCTCTTTGCTAATCTTCCTTCTTCCTGCATCTGTGCATAAAGCGTACACTCTCACTTGGAAAAGAGTAGGGTACTGTCTCCCGGTGTTAGTACTGTCCAATGCCAACCAAAAGGATGCCACTGGAAATACTTTCGTGGATTATTCTTGGTGAATAAATCCGTACCATATGGATATCCATTCCATTGTAGTGTAATTATGTTTATGTCCTTCATTTTACTAGAAATGTAGAACACAACACAAAATTAACTAAAAGTATTGTATGGTTAATTTCAATTGGCCTATATTATTAATAGAAATCATGTAAGGTCTTGTTTCAATGTCAAATTATGAAACGTGATAAACTTGGCACCTTGACCACTGAGAATTAGTTCCCGAAATTTAGTACAAACACGTAAACTAAAGTATTGAGCTTTTATCATTATTATTTAACTTATGATACATAATCCCAAACCATTCCGGATCTCTTTGTTATTACAGTATTCCTTCTTCCTGTAACTTCGTACATTAAATGTACAATAATATTAATAATAATATAATTTACTAACAATATAACATTATATTTACATGATTACTTCATTTTAATATTATACAGTAATTTATAATAAACTAATTCAATTTTAAACATAAATCAAACACTAATAACAATATATTGAATTTTATATAAATCAACTTAATTAAATAAACATCAACATAGCCTAGAAGGACCTGTGATCCATTAGCTAGTATATACATACTGTTTTATAAA